TTTTTTTTTTCTTCAGTGGATTTTTAGTGTGGTAAACACAAGTTCATCGATTTATGGTACTGTTCATAATGTTCATGTCCTATTGGCATCATTGCACTATTTTCTTACTAATTCGAGTCTAGATATGTAATTTCACGGTTTGGAATATGTAGCATCAAGATATTGTAGGTCGTCATATATTAGTGAAATTACTGATGTATGCATGAACACATAATCTTCTGTAAAAGCTCCTCTGACTTTTGCTACTTTTTGCAAACATATTTTTAGGTGCAGTTTATTGCTAGCTATGATTTGATATACACTTGGAACCTGTTCGAATGAAGTTCGAAGAGTCCAAATGACGCCACGTATCTCTTTTCATAATCACGTACATAGTTACATTACAGAAGGGAAAAACAAAAAAGTGGATATAACTACTCTTTTCATGAGCAGGTACGTAACTATATTACAGGGAAAGGAAAAAGAAAAAATAGTGGATATAACTACGGTTAAAAGTTTCATTTGTGAGAGAATATTTCTCATGATTTAAAAAGTCTACAGAATAGGAAAGTGCACAATCATAATTCTTTATTAATACGGTGAAATTGGTCGAGCTGTAAACTGTACCAAATTGTGGTTATCTTGATGTAGTCATTGAAAAATATACTCTTTGATCTCCCTTTTTCACTAAGAACATACTGAAAGATCTATTAGGATTCTGTAGAAGTAAAAACTCAGATTGATCACCAGCATTATAGATAGGAAAATGCTACATGTACATAATAAATGTACATAGAGATGTACATAACACTCACATGGAGTGGGGTCCACTTAATTTTTTATTTTTAGTGGGTCCCACTCAATGTAAGTGTTATGTACACCCCTATATACAATATTATGTACCTATAGCATTACTCTTATAGATAACTCAATTTTTCGTGAAAATAGTGTCATTTCATTGGAACTTCGTTTTGTTGCATGTGCATTTATGTACACCATGCGCTGTCTAAATTTGCTTTCACAATCTATCCATGCTAAATGCATGCTTTTCTTTTCGCTTCCTCAAATTTTATTTTTTTTTAATCTTCTTTTACCTGTATTGTGGTAGAGTAATTTCTTGGAGTTCTTTTAACTCCGACTGGTTCTAATTTCTTACAAACATGTTTATGTTTCAGGTACAATTTATATACTTTTGGAACCTGTTCGAAAGAAGTTCCAAGAGTCCCGGAGAGGCCACACGCCTGTTTTCAAGCAGAGGATCAGGTACGTAATGACAATACAGAAAAGGAAAAATTTTAGAATCAGGTGAAATTGATCCATCCAGCTTTAAAATCTTGACTAAACTATGGTTACTGAGAAATAGTTAGTGAAATAAATGATTCTCGTTCGACTTGTCTTTTCATTAATAGTTGGTGAAATCAATGATTCTATTTCGATCTGCCTTTTCTGGGAAAGTATGTACGGAAAGATCTTTTAGGGTTCTCTAAAAAGTAAGAACTCATGTTCAGAAAGTATACATTTGATGGTTTGGTTTGGAATCACTCAGGCACCTCAACACAACAAAATTTTTGTAATACAAGTGCAATAGATTGGCAGCAGCATAATATAAATTGAAACTTCATAAAAACAGTATTATCATATTCTTGGAACTTCATTTTGTTATGAGTAGTTAGTGTACTCCAAGCACGGCCGAATTTTGCTTTCTGAAGCTATTCATCTTTCATAGCAATGAATGTGTTTTTAGACTCCTTTGTTCGATTTTCGTTTTATCGTATTGTGATAGGGTTTGATTTTTTGTACTTAATTACAATTATTTCACTTTCAACCAACACAACAGAATGTTCTGAAAATCGTGATCTAGAATCCAGATAATTAAATGTAACAGGTATTTGAACTCTCTTTTCAATTTTGAGTCGTAAAATATGTTTACCTAATAACATTATTTTTTTTCAACAATCTCTTGCCATGTGCAGTTTATTGCCAATGTAGCCGAAATACTAAAAGCTGTTACTAGAACCCTAACAGATAATCGTATACAAGATCGGATGTGAGTCGAATAACCCTGTTCATCAACCTTAGGCTTGTTGACATTCGGCATTTTTAAAAAGAAAAACATCCAAACGCCAAGAGATTCCTAAATTTTAGCACATGTTGAGTTCATTTTTGCTTAGACATGCAAAATTGAGACGGAGATCATTATGAACTAACTTAGGCACTGAACTATACTCGTGTGAATTGATTTACTGTACAGATATGTGTTTAAGAGGGAAAAAATTCACCTAAGAAAACATTTGTAAAAGTCAAAAGAGACCGTGTTCTATATTATAATGTCACATGCCCCCTGACAACTTTTAGTTTTTTTAGATAGACGCAGTTACCTAGTCGCCACCTAATAGTTAGATATTACTAATTTTGACATCGGTAATAAAGTAGGTAAACTGCTTACATGCATTGAGATTTTGTACTCAACTGAATGTAACTATTGTAAAGTATGCAGTATAGATGGGCATATCATTGAAAACAGTTCTATATTTCCAATATACTTCCCATTTAAGTTCTTAGAGTATTAGGTCATGACATATTGAACTATGCACATTGAAGGAACACTACGGAGTTGCCTTTTTGAAGTCCTACATAAATATTTGCAAACAGTAAACAGTTCTATATTTCCTATATACTCCCCCAAGTTTTTAGAGTATTAGGTCATGAAATATTGAACTGTGCACATTTAAGTTCCAACTACGGAAGTTACCTTTTTGAAGTGCTACAAAAATATTTGCATTTACATTGTACATATGTGAAAGTTTTGCGCAAGCGTTGCGTGATTCTTTAGTAATTCAGTCGCTTTTATTTATGAGGTGCAAGTCGAGCGCATATGTGGACAACAAATGCATATCATCCTCAAGTGTTACAAACGAAATAAATGCATGTTCACAATTGTTCACTCCATTTGGTTCAATAGGATTCTCCAGTGTTTCAGTTGTTTTGTTTGTCCCCTTTTTCTGCTTTTGCTCTTTACCTTAAAATTCTTTGTCTTATTTACATAATAGCACATAAAGAGACTTGAGCATTTTTAAGTGCAAGGAAATTGAACAACCTCTTTATTTGGAGTGCTCAAACATTCCATCTTCTCAAACCGTAAGATATCAGATAGATACCCGTACTACCTGATATATGTAAGTTCTCAACCCCCAAAAAAGAAAGAGATAAAAAGAAAAAAACAAAAGAAAACAAAACAATACAACATTCAAATATGCCATATTTAAAAAAGAGAAATGAAAACGAAACAATTTGTAGTTATTGTTTGGGCCGTTGAGCTTGAGCGACATATCTCTTCAACCAAAGAGGCTTGCCTCCAACCCGTAGCTTCACCTTCTCATTATTGCCCATTATCATGTTGGGCACCTCTGCATTTGTGAAGAGGATCCTTCCAAACTCGAATTCTTTATTTGGTCGACCAACACTACGTCGGTCGTGCACATACACTTTTTCCACGCATTCCCCGTACTCACTGTCACAACAAGCAATTAGAAAAAACAAAGTCAGGCAAGTAAATATTATCATGCATGAAATATACTTGTCTTTCACATTTTCCACGCATTCCCCGTACTCACTGTCACAACAAGCAATTAGAAAAAACAAAGTCAGGCAAGTAAATATTATCATGCATGAAATATACTTGTCTTTTTAATTCATTAGCCGACTAACTCGCTCGATGAAAAAATAAAATAAAAATGATAAGATTCATTTAAATATATTCACTTTTTGAAATGCTGGCTGATTTCTCTCCACACTAGGGGAGACCCAATTGAGAAGGTCATGAATAATGACCTCTCTTCCCTTGTGCTATCTAACGGCTGACTGGGCGCTTGTCGTGCTGTTTGTGCTTTTACCTGGGATGAATGGCTCGGCAATTGCGTTCAATCTGCTCATTTTTTTTTGTGATTTGGTGATTATTTGTGATTGGAGTATATGGGGTGAGATTTCCTCTTTCTTTCTTTCTTTCTTACTCTGTATGAACTATGTTAATACTGATGAAAACTGTTGATTTGCTGCACTTATTTATATTAGTGTTTATGATGTACAAAGAAAGATAATTATGTTTGCCAGTTTGAGTTTGTGTGCAAGAGAATTTAGTGCTTTGAGCTATTTTATAATTTTGAGTCCATGCATCATATTTGTGCACAATTGATGATTCTGTGTTAATGTTTTGGGCCAGTTGTGTTCAATTGCATTATAGTATAGTATCATTTCCCAGGAACAGCTATCATTTACAAAAATCAAGATATCCTTGTTTTTATATATATCTAAAACAAACAACAATAGAGATTAAATTTTGTGTCCTGGGAGAAATTTGAAGCAACTAAGATGACTAAGAATGAGTAATGACTGAAAAGTATGACAAAAATAATTTTAATGATAAGGAACTAATATTATATTATGTTCATCATCTCATGCAGTCGAATTCATCAAGATTCAAGCACTGAGATTTGATTGTGAAATGGCTAGTTTGCGCTACTTGTGTACAATTAGAGTAAAACAAAGAGAGCAGGTATGCATAAAACAAGTTTTGGGATAAACTCTTTATTAAAACTGAGATATAAAATTAAGTTACATCAGAGCTTATTT